GCCTCCACTCAGTGTCCTCCATCCCTCTCTGCCAATCCCTCCACTGGCCTCCACTCAGTGTCCCTCCATCCCTCTCTGCCAATCCCTCCATGGCCTCCACTCAGTGTCCCACCCCTCTCTGCCAATCCCTCCACTGCTCCTGATTGCCCAATGCATAAAATTCAAAACTACTAACACTGACATACAAAGCCATTCATAACGCTGCCCCAAACTACCTCACCGACCTGATACCCAAATAGCACCCTACCTGTACTCTTTGCTCCTCAGAGGACCTCCTTTCCTCTCTAGTTCCCTGGTCTCCTCCTCCCATGCCCATCTCCAGGACGTCTCCAGGGCTTTCCCCATCCTCTGGAAATCACTACCCCCAATCCATCAGACTGTCACCTACCCTCTTCTTCAGGGAAGCCTACCCCCACCCTCACCTAACAACCGATCTCCTCCTCCCACTCTTCCCACCATCTCCATCCCCCACAGCTATTTCCTCTTGTACCACTATCCCCTCCCTCCTAGATTTGTAAGCTCCAAGGAGCAGGGCCCTCGAAACCCCTCGTGTATTGTATTGTTACTGTATTGTCTCCCATTATAATGTACAGCGCTCAGCACACCTTTTATCGCTATATAAATACTGTATAATAATAATATATACACACATACATACAGTCAGGTCCATAAAAGTATTGGGACATGGGACCACAATTCTAACATTTTTGGCTCTATACACCACCACAATGGATTTGAAATGAAACGAACAAGATGTGCTTTAACTGCAGACTGTCAGCTTTAATTTGAGGGTATTTACATCCCAAATCAGGGAACGTGTAGGAATTACAACAGTTTGCATTGTGCCTCCCACTTGTTAAGGGACCAAAAAGTAATGGGGACAACTCTGGCTTCTCAGCTGCGTTCCATGGCCAGGTGGTGTGTTATTCCCTCAATTATACCCTATTACAATGAGCAGATAAAAGGTCCAGATTTCATTTCAAGTGTGCTATTTGCATTTTGGAATCTGTTTGCTGTCAACTCTCAAGAGAGATCAAAGAGCTGTCACTATCGGTGAAGCCATCATTAGGCTGAAAAAACAAAAACAAAACCATCAGAGATATAGCAAAAACATTAGGCGTGGCCAAAACAACTGTTTGGAACATTTTAAAAAGAAGGAACGCACCGGTGAGCTCAGCAACACCAAAAGACCCGGAAGACCACGGAAAACACAACTGTGGTGGATGACCTGCGAAGAATTCTTTCCCTGGTGAAGAAAACACCCTTCACAACACTGTTGGCCAGATCAAGAACACTCTCCAGGAGGTAGGTGCATATGTGCCCTCCCACTTGTTAAGGGACCAAAAGTAATGGGACAGAATAATAATCATCAATCAAACTTTCACTTTTTAATACTTGGTTGCAAATCCTTTGCAGTCAATTACAGCCTGAAGTGTGGAACGCATAGACATCCCTCAGACGCTGGGGTGTCATCCCTGGTGATGCTCTGCCAGGCCTCTACTGCAACTGTCTTCAGTTCCTGCTTGTTCTTGGGGCATTTTCCCTTCAGTTTTGTCTTCAGCAAGTGAAATGCTCAATCGGATTCAGGTCAGGTGATGGACTTGGCCATTGCAGTAACATTCCACTTCTTTGGTTGCTTTTGCAGTCTGCTTTGGGTCATTGTCCATCTGCACTGTGAAGCGTCCAATGAGTTGTGAAGCATTTGGCCTGAATATGAGCAGATAATATTCCGCGAAACACTTCACAATTCATCGGCTGCTTCTGTCAGCAGTCACATCATCAATAAATACAAGAGAAGCAGTTCCATTGGCAGCCATACATGCCCACGCCATGACACATACCACCACCATTGCTTCACTGATGAGGTGGTATGCTTAGGTCATGAGCAGTTCCTTCTCCATACTCTTCTCTTCCCATCACTCTGGTACAAGTTGATGTCGGTCTCATCTGTCCATAGGATGTTGTTCCAGAACTGTGAAGGCTTTTTTTACATGTCGTTTGGCAAACTCTAATCTGGCCTTCCTGTTTTTGAGGCTCACCAATGGTTTCCATCTTGTGGTGAACCCTCTGTATTCACTCTGGTGAAGTCTTCTCTTGATTGTTGACTTTGACACACATACACCTACCTCCTGGAGAGTGTTCTTGATCCGGCCAACTGTTGTGAGGGTGTTCCCTCCTGTTTTCTTCACCAGGGGAAAGAATTCTTCGCTCATCCACCACAGTTGTTTTTCCGTGGTCTTCCGGGTCTTTTGGTGTTGCTGAGCTCACCGGTGCGTTCCTTCTTTTTAAGAATGTTCCAAACAGTTGTTTTGGCCACGCTTCCTAATGTTTTTGCTATCTCTCTGATGGGTTTGTTTTGTTTTTTCAGCCTAATGATGGCTTCACTGATAGTGACAGCTCTTTGGATCTCATCTTGAGAGTTGACAGCAACAGATTCCAAATGCAAATAGCACACTTGAAATGAACTCTGGCACCTTTTATCTGCTCATTGTAATTGGGATAATGAGGGAATAACACACACCTGGCCATGGAACAGCTGAGAAGCCAGTTGTCCCCATTACTTTTGGTCCCTTAACAAGTGGGAGGCACATATGCAAACTGTTGTAATTCCTACACTGTTCACCTGATTTGGATGTAAATACCCTCAAATTAAAGCTGACAGTCTGCAGTTAAAGCACATCTTGTGTGACTGTACATCCATATATTACAAATAGGTGTGAATGTAGCCTTAGGACGGGTTCACACTATAGAAACGTAGTCCAGATGCATTTCGGATGCGTTTTTGATGCATTTTGTGTTTTAAATCTGCCTAGCAGCAACAAAAAGAATTTAAAAAAATGCAAAACAGGTGCAAAAGCCCAAAACGCACTGCAGAAACGGATCAAATGCAAACTGCATAGGTGTGAACGTAGCCTTAGGGCCGGTTCACACTATAGAAAAGTCCAGATGTGTTCCGGATGCGTTTCTGCATGCGCATTTTTGCCACGATTTTGATGCATTTTTGATGTGTTTTAAAGCTGCCTAGCAACAAGAATTAAAAAAAAAAAAAAAACAGGTGCAAAAATCACAATGTAAAACGCACTGCAGAAACGGATCAAATGCAAACTGCCTAATTTTTTATGCATTTTGTGTTTTAAATCTGCCTAGCAACAAGAAAATTAATTAAAAAAACCCAGCAAAACATGTCAAAAACACAGGTGCAAAAATGCAAAACGCAATGTAGAAACGGATCAAATTCAAACTGCATAGGTATGAACGTAGCCTTAGGGTCGGTTCACACTATAGAAACGTATTCCAGATGTGTTCCGGATGCATTTCTGCATGCGCGTTTTTGGCTTGTTCCAGTGCTGTTTTGATGCATTTTTGGTGCATTCCAATGCGGTTTTGATGCATTTTGATGCATTCCAGAGCGGTGTTTTATGCATTCCAATTCATTTTATCCCCTTTTTTCCATTTAAATAAGGACATGTACGCTCCGGTGAATTCCAGTGCGGTTTTGATGCATTTTTGGCACATTCCGGTGCGGTTTTGATGCATTTTGATGCATTCCAGTGCGGTGTTTTTTATGCACTCCAGTTATTTTATCCCCTTCTCTCTTTTTTTCAATTACATGTGCGCTCCAGTGGATTCTGGTGCGTTTTTTATGTGTCTTTGCAGCATTTTTGATGCGGTTTGCATTTTAAATCTGCCTAGCAACAAGAAAAGTTTAAACGCGTCAAAAATTCAAAACGCAATGCAAAAACGGATCAAACTCAACCTGCATAGGTGTGAACCCGGCCTTAGGAGGGCCCTGATCTGGCGAGAAGCAATTGGCCAACCTGTGGCTGCATTTTTTTTGGTAGGGTGATTGTGATTGGTCACCCCCTTCACGAAAGCCTCTCACTGATTGGAAGGCGAGTATCTCTGTTAGTCCATGAAGGGCTAAAACTAGTTAGACAACCTGAAGCCGCGCCCCCCGTAGAGCAGCGATTGGCCAGCCTGTCGCTGAATTTTTTGGGGGGGTTGTGATTGGTCGCCCATTCACGAAAGCCTCTCCTTGATTGGAAGGCAATGGAGAGCTAAACCTGGCTAGGCAAGCTGAAGCCACGCCCCTGGCGAGCAGCGATTGGTCAGCCTGTCTCAGCATTTTTTTGTGGGTCACCCCCTTCACGAAAGCCTCTCCTTGATTGGAAGGCGAGTATCTCCGTTAGCCAATGGAGAGCTAAAACCTGGCTACAGGCCCTCCAGCTGTTGAGGAACTACAAGTCCCATCATGCCTCTGCCTTTGTGAGTCATGTTTGTAACGATCAGCCTTGTAATGCCTCATGGGATTTGTAGTTCTGCAGCAGCTGGAGGACCGCAGTTTGACACCCCCTAGGCTAGAGAATCTGACGCTACGCCTCTGGCGAGCAGCGATTGGTCAGCCTGTCTCAACTTTTTTTTGGGAAGATTGTGATTGGTCGCCCCTTCACGAAAGCCTCTTGTTGATTGGAAGGCGGGTATCTCCGTTAGCCAATGGAGAGCTAAAACTGGTTAGATAATCAATCGCTACTAGCCAAGGTGCGGCTTTAGGTCAGCCTGTCGCAACATTTTTTTAGGAGGATTGTGATTGGTCACACCTTCACGAAAGCCTCTCGCTGATTGGAAGGCTTTTATCTCAGCTAAAGCTAGCTGGAAAATATGAAGCCGCGCCCCCCAGCGATTGGCCAGCCTGTCGCAGCACCTTTTTAGGGACTGTGATTGGTCGCCCTCTCTCGAAAGCCTCTCGCTCATTGGAAAGCGTGTATCTCCGCTAACCTATGAAGAGCCAAACCTAACCGAGCACTCTAAAGCCGCGCCTTTGGGAAACAGCGATTGGCCGGTGTGTCGTCGACGCGAGTAGTGATTGGCCGGCTTTTTTTTTAGGCGGCCAGTGGGGGCGTGGAAAGCCGCACAGGTGAGCCGGAAGTCAGGCGGAGGCTGGTCCCGTGACGCGCAGGGGCAGCACGGGGCTCCTTCATGCCGGTGACCACAGACTGGACATGTCGCAGTTCGGGCCCGCCGAGCTGGTGTCGGACTATGGGGACTTCGGTAGGCCGCAGGCCTTACGTGAGGCGCTGCAGAGCCCCCCGGGCGGCCCCCGCCTCTCCCTCAGCCCGGACGGACGCTACCTGCTGGTGTGGCTGGGCCCCGAGAGGCGGCTGCTGTCCTTCCTCCACCTCCCGGCCGCCTCTCCTTCCCCTCCCCATCCCGGGGACTACCTGGAGCACAGCTGGCCGGCCCAGTCCCCCCCCCTGGTGGGTCTCCTCTTCCTGCAGAGCCCGGGGCAGGCCTGGTCTATGGCCCTCGTGTGGGAGAACGGGCGGGCCGAGGTGTGGAGCCCTCCCCGGGGGACCTCCGACAAATCCTGGACCCTCCTTGGGAGCGCGGAGCTGTGTCAGGGGCCCCGGGCCCGTGTGGCCTCCGTCTGCTGTTGCCAAGGCGACGAGCTGTTGTGGTGCGAAGAAAGAACCACCTCCAACCTCCTGACCTACTGCCTGTGCCGCCGGAGCCTCCGAGTCGTTGGCCGGCGGGTCTCCCTGGGCGCCATGACGATCGTCCTGCACCACAGCCCACCCTACCAAGTCATGGCGGCCGCCGGACGCGTCTTCATGGTCCCCCGCGGGGCCGGGCCGCATCCCGTGCTGGTCTACGCCCCCGTCGAGGCCTCCATCACCCTCTCCAGCCTCGCCGCCGGCGTCCTCCACAGCAAGGCCATGAGCGAGGCCGACACGGACTACAAAAAAGCTGCTTCTGGAGAGCGCCGGGGCCGCCGCCAACCCGAATATCCAATGCTCCGCCCTGGCCGGTCCCGGGCCGTGCCTGCTGGTCATGACGGCGGCCGGGCGGATTCACTTAATGCACCGAGACGGGACGGCGCGCCTCGTCTACCACCTGGAAGAGAACGTGGCTGCCAACGCACAAATCAAGATGGCGGCTTCTGGCGACACGCTGGTGCTCACGGTGGACTGCCGCTTGTACCTCGTAGACATGCGCACCGGCAGGCTCGTGGCGAAGCAGGTGTTGAACGCGGGGGAGGTGCTGCTGATCAACGCCTCGGAGGGCGGAGACGTCCAGCTGATGACCAAAGGCGGCGTTTACAAAACGAGCCGCGAGGGGGGTTGCGGCACGGCGGAGCCGGCTCTCTTGGACATGGTTTACGAAGAGGCCTGCAAGTATTACCAGAGGCGGAGCCTCAGCAGCGCCAAGCTGACGGCGCAGAGTTTGAAAGAGAACGGCATGTTCCAGGCCCCCATCGCCCTGGCCGCCATCCTCTGCCGGAAGAAGGAGGCCAACAAATACTCCGAGCTGCTGAGCAACATCCACAACGAGCTGCAGAGCTTCCTCAGCCTGGAGCTGCTGAAATCCCGCGTGGTCGGTGCGCCGCGCGATGACGTCACCAAGCACTGCGACGAGCTGGTGGACCTGGAGCTGACGCGCCTCCTGCAGGCGGATCTGGACAAAGACAGCCTTGTGTACATAAACTCCCTCTTCAACACGTTCCCCAGATCCGCCTGGATGTCCGTCCGGAACAACTTCCAGTTCCAGCAGAACGGAGACGGCAAGGTGGTGGTGCGCGCCACCGCCGACCTGTGGAAGAAGGTCCTGAGCCCCCTCCCCCCCTCGGCATCCCAGAACGGAGCCCACCCGCTCTTCGAGGTCATCTGCCACTCCCTTTGTGCCTACAAACCAAAATGGCTGCCGGCCTTCACCCAGCAGCATGCCCAGGAATGTTCCGGACTTTACTGGAGTTTTACCACCAAAGAGCACAGCAAGGTGGCGCACCGCTGTACAAGCGGGCGCTCTCCGTTCTCCGCAAGCACAACACTAACGTAGAGCTGGAGGTGGAGCTCCTGCTGGGAAGCGGGAGGCCGCAAGCCATCATCCAGGCCATACACACCCTGATCCGCCTCCAGCGCTGGCCCAGGGTCATGGAGGAGACGCAGAGATACTCGCGGCTCAACCCGCTCATCAAGAAGGACATTTTTATCACGCTGCTGGTGGAGTTCGTCCGGCACAGACAGCTGGACCCCTACCTGCCCCAGATGTGCGACATCTACCCCGAGGACATGACCGCCACGGATATTTTACGGATCGTCATACTGAACGTGCCCAAAGCACCCGCGGGGTCGCCGCCCCTTCTCTCGCCGAAGGCGGGGCCCAACTAACCATGGGATTACTCAAACCTCTGCTGAACAAAGCGCTGCAACGGCAGCACGGGGGAGACCAGAACTTCCCCACTCCAACTTTCCCACCAACGGCCCCGCAGCGGACAAACAAAGCCGCGGGCCAGCACCCTGCGCTCAACGGAGAGGACCTGTCACCCACTGACATCTATGCCACTAAAGACTTGTGATTCGCTGCCCCATTGTGCACTATGCATGGACCTTCTGCATGCCAGAGCTTCAGGATGTCCCTTCTGCATGCCAGAGCTTCAGGATGTCCCAGCTTCAGGATGTCCCTTCTGCATGCCAGAGCTTCAGGATGTCCCAGCTTCAGGATGTCCCTTCTGCATGCCAGAGCTTCAGGATGTCCCAGCTTTCCTTTCTGCATGCCAGAGCTTCAGGATGTCCCAGCTTCTCTTAGTTCAGTATTAATTTGTTTGTTTGTATTTTATGTGAAAGCTTCAACTCATTCCAGCAGATGCTGGTGGACTGTTTGTAGGGGGGCTGCATTCACACGGGTAAATAGGTGGTGTTGAAGGTAGGTTTGCAATATATATTTTCTGTGTAAAACAAAAAAAAAAAAAAATTTATATCTATTTTCCTCTATCATTATGCATAAAAAAAAGATTAAAGATTTTATAATTAAAGAGATAGATATATAAAAAAAAAAAAAATTTTTTTTTGTATTTACCTCCATCATTATGCATATAAATTAAAAAAAAATTAAAGATTTTATAAATGTATTCTTCAAAAAGTTTTTAACATATACAAAAGTGCAGATAGATATAGATATAGAGAGAGAGAGATATATATATATATAAATGCACTTTTGTACATATATATGTGGGGGAAAAAAAGTGCGGAAACATTTTGAAGAATATATATATATAATATATATATTTTTATATGCATAATGATAGAGGGGGAAAAAAATTTATTTATATATATATATATATATATATATATATATATATATATATATATATATATATAATATTATATAAATATATAAATTAAAATAAATATCTATATATTATGTATAAATAATATTTTTTATTAAAAAAAATTATCTATATATATGTATAAAAAAAATTTTTTATATATATAATTTTTTTTTTTTTAATATATATATACATAGTATGATAGAGGGGATTTTTCTTAATGAGAAAAAAAAAAAAAAAAATTATATATATATATATATATATATATAATATATATAATATATATATATTATAAATTTTTGTTTCCCCTCTATCATTATGCATATAAAAAAAAAATATATATAATATATATTCTTCAGAAAGGTTTTTAACATGTACAAAAGTGCAGCAATATCTCTCTACACTTTTATACATATATATGTGGGGGGAAAAAAAAGTAAAAACTTTTTGAAGAACACACACATATAAACATTTTTTTTTTTTTTTTATACGTAGTATGATAGAGGGGAATTTGTTTTTTAATGTAAAAAAAAATATTTTTTTTTTTTTCCCTCTCATTCTGCATATAAATAAAAAAAAAAAAAAAGGTTAAAAAGTGTGGAAACTTTTTGAAGAACACACACACATATATTATTTTTTTTGTATTTATTTATACGTATTATTATAGAGGGGAATTTTTTTTTTTTTTTTATTAAAAAAAAAAAAAATCCCCTCTATAATAATACGTATAAATAAATACAAAAAAATTAAGTGCGTGTGTTCTTCAAAAAGTTTCCACTTTTTTTTTTCACATATATATGTATAAAAGTGCAGGGAGAGATATTTCTGAACTTTTGTACATGTTAAAAAACTTTTTTGAAGAATATATATTATTATAAAATCTTTAATTTTTTTTTTTTTTTTAATTTTTTTCTTGTTCAAACTTTTTATTGGTATTATAACATGGGGAGGGGGACATTAACAGTAGGCATTGGACAGTACATTGACCGCAAAATACAGGGAAAAAAATGCGCAGTATCAATGTCCTTATATAGAAGGGGAGAGAGAGACTCAAAGAGGGTGATAGAGATGACTCCATGGATGGCGGGGGAGGACATAATCCTTTGTGTATTCGGTTAGGAGTGGTTCCAGGTTAGTACTGAAAATGCGCACTTTCACACTTTGCATTGCAGTGATTCGTCAAAATTTTGCGGGAGGAAATGTTCTACCCAAGGGTTCCAAACATTCAGGAACTTAGGGATTGTATCAAGGATTTATTTTTTTTTTTTTTTTTATGTGTATAATGATAGAGGGGGGAAAAAAATAGATATAGCTATATTTTATAATATACTTTTTTTTTTTTGTAAGATATATATGCACACCTACTTCTAAATTTATGTGAACCCCATAACTTGAAGTAGATTTTCAGCCTCAACTCAACTGGCCTTCAAGCGGTATTAAAACCGAAACCAAAAGCGTCCTGTTTTGCGGCATACCAATCATTCCATGTGGCGGCTGCATTCATTTTCCTTTTTTTTTAGGCTTTTTTTTTTTTTTTTTTTCCACCTGGCGATCTGGCCAGTAACACACCTCCTGTATTAGAGCGCCCCCACTCTGGAGCACAGAGGGCACCTTTTGGACAGCAGCTTTGTTGGTTGGGGGAGAGGGGGAGCATTAGATACACTAACAAACTGAAGCCACACTCCAGCTCACACTTGATCAGCAGTCACATCCTTTTTTTTTTTTTTTTTTTTTTTTTTTTTTTTTTTTTTTTTTTTTTTTCTTGCATAAAGGACTTACATGAATAACTAAAAGTTGATCATTGTATGCACCCAACCCTCTAACTGTTTCTGAGTGGTTATTGGTTTGTCCCAACCCTCTAACTGCTACATCTTTCTGTGAGTGGTTAGTTTGTCCCAACCCTCTAACTGCTTAATGGTTTGTCCCAACCCTCTAACTGCTACATCTTTCTGTGAGTGGTTATTGGGTTTGTCCCAACCCTCTAACTGCTACATCTTTCTGTGAGTGGTTAATGGTTTGTCCCAACCCTCTAACTGCTACATCTTTCTGTGAGTGGTTAATGGTTTGTCCCAACCCTCTCAACTGCTACATCTTTCTGTGAGTGGTTAATGGTTTGTCCCAACCCTCTAACTTACATCTTTCTGTGAGTGGTTAATGGTTTGTCCCAACCCTCTAACTGCTACATCTTTCTGTGAGGTTTGGTTAATGGTTTGTTTGTCCCAACCCTCTAACTGCTACATGCCCAACCCTACATCTTTGCTGTGAGTGGTTAATGGTTTGTCCCAACCCTCTAACTGCTACATCTTTCTGTGAGTGGTTAATGGTTTGTCCCAACCCTCTAACTGCTCTACACATCTTTCTGTGAGTGGTTAATGGTTTGTCCCAACCCTCTGCTACATCTTTCTGTGAGTGGTTAATGGTTTGTCCCAACCCTCTAACTGCTACATCTTTCTGTGAGTGGTTAATGGTTTGTCCCAACCCTCTAACTGCTACATCTTTCTGTGAGTGGTTAATGGTTTGTCCCAACCCTCTAACTGCTACATCTTTCTGTGAGTGGTTAATGGTTTGTCCTTTCTGTGAGTGGTTAATGGTTTGTCCCAACCCTAACTGCTACATCTTTCTGTGAGTGGTTAATGGTTTGTC